GGTGGCTCTTTATTGTGGGGGCTGTCCTGTACATTGTAGAGTGTTTAGCAGCATCGCTGGGGTCTAGCCACTAGATGACAGTAGAATAATGTCTCACCAAAGATATCCACATCCTAATCTCCGGAACCTGTGAATATGTTCAGTCACATGGCAAAGGAAAATTAAGGTTGCAGATGGAATTAAAGGTTGCCAATCAACTGCCCTTAAAATGATGAGATTATCCTGGACTGTCCAGGTGAGCCCAATGTTATCACCAGAGTCCTTAGGAGAATCTGAAGGAGAAATGACTGGAAGAGGGTCAAAGAGATGCAATATGGCTGGCTGTGAAGATGGAGGAAATGGGCCACTGGAAAAGCCAAAGAAACAGATCCTAGAGGCTCCAGAAGGAAGACAGCCCTGCCAACACCTTGACGTTAGCCCAGAGAGACCCACTTCAGACGTCTGACCTCCAGAACTGTAAGACAATAAATTTGTGTTGCTCTAAGCCACTAAATTTGGGGTGATTTGCTGAAGCAGCAGTAGGAAACTAACACATTCCCACCCCCAATTGTGACAACCAAAACTGTCTTCAGCCATTTCTAAATGTTCCCTAGGGACAAAGGTGCCTCCAGGCAGAGAACCACTGCTCTGGAAAATGTAGGCTCTGAATTCCTGAGATGTACACTGGGCTTTTCACAATTAATGCTACCCAACCTGTTGGACTAGTACCCAACAGAGCCAGGGACAGCCTGTGCTGCAGGCATACCAAACTTCTAACTGCAGAACACTCTACATCGTTCACCTCTCTGCAGATCTGATGCCAAGAGGTGCCTCGAAGGGTAGGCAGTGTGCTTGGACCCTCCTGCCATTTTATCTGTTCCCATAGTCTCTTCCAAAGACATGCCTAACCTGCCTTCATTAGGTTATTACATGAAAAGCCATGTGGTTGCTACATATATGAAACGGCAGATGCCTTAAGCTCCTCCTAATGAATCATTGCTCTTAAGCCCCTCTAAGTCCTCTTCACTGCACACTCTGGCATCGCCAATACCTCTGTGCCTTTGCAGGTCCACTCTTTTCTCTTTAATCAAGGAACCACTTCCTGTCTTTCTATAAATGGCAGTCATCCTTGAGATCAAGTTCAAGTGTTCTCTGCACAGTGAAGCCTTCCAAAGACTCTCCCAAGCATGGCAACCCATCACTGCCGCCCCCACCCCCACCCCCTGTCCCACCCTGTGCTGTGATCCTTCTACGCTGCACCTGTTGGCTGACTCATCCATCCTCCTATTAAACTTGGAGCTCTTCAGGGGCTGACACCAGACTTTAGCCTCTGCTTTCCTGGTACCTAAAGAAATGCTTGTGTTCAAGAAGTGCTTGTGGCATGAATGAAGAAAAGAATGGAAGCCATGGATAGAGAAAAGTCATTTTAATTCTGGGTTATTGAAGCTGTGGCGCTCCAGATCAGCTACGAGCATAATCCCAGCTCTGATCCATGAGAATTAGGGGAACCCCAGGGTTGGAATGAGACCTTGTTCCTTTGTCTGTGATCAGAATCAGAACACAGCTTGGCCGGTAAGAACACAAGTTAAGAAGCATGTACCAATCGTGTTACCATGCGCCATTTATCCCTTTGTCTTCTCCCTTTTTCTACTCAATAGATACTCTACCCAGCATGTCCCTGAATCCAATTATGTTAAAGCAATCCTCAAATACCTAGTGAAGGAATGTTAATAGAGGCGTAGCTGACTTTGTCTAACACCTCTAGGTTTTAGGCCATAAAATGGCCATTTGTGAGCCTCAAGAGAGCACAAGTCATAGAGCTGCAGGCATATATGAGAGTCTCAGGAGAGGGAGCCACTGTACGAATATTAAGCTTAAAATCAGAGAATCTGCTGACACAATGAAGCGGAAATGGACGTAATCCATCCCTGGCTGACCCTGAATGAAGGTGAATTCTCAGGTTTGCCTATGGACTCAATACAAGAGAGACTGAAAAGTTGAACAAGCCATAAGACTTGCATGGAGTCTGCAAGCATGACTCAAGAGGGATCCAACTGGGGCCGGCCGAGTGGCGCGATGGTTAAGAACTGGCTTGGGACGCCAGAGGGCCCCGGTTCGGATCCCACATATGAGGGCCAGTGACACTGCCCTCTACAGCTAAGATGCTGAACAACAGCTCAACCTGGAGCTGGGCTGCCGTGAGTCGACGGCGTAGGCTGCAGTCCCCTGTGGCAGTGGGTTGCCATGGGCTACCGTGTGTAGCCAGCAGCCAGCGTGAGCGGCCAGCAGCCAGCGTGAGCGGCCAGCAGCCAGCGTGAGCGGCCAGCAGCCAGCGTGAGCGGCCGTACAGAGGCCGGCGACTGATCTGCCTCACCCGGGAAGAGCACAATGATGGTGCCAACTTGGGCCAGTGAAGCAACGTCCTCCACAACTAGACTGAACAACAAAACGACAACAACTTGTCTGTTCCCCTTCCCCCAATTCCCCAGCGCTGTTCCCATCCCCGCAATTCCCCAATAAAAATCTTTTTTTAAAAAAAAAAAAAAGAGGGATCCAACTGGCTCCAACACTGGACAAAGGCCCCAGGGAAACTTTATGCCAGCGGAAAGCACTTCTGTAGGCACTCACTAGATGGCTAGCATGGGGCGCTACACTCAACTTACTGGTGCAGTGATCCTCCACTGGGGCAATTTTGACCCCTAGAGGACATTTGGCAGTGTCTGCAGACATTTTGCATTGGCACACTGGTGGGGTGCTATTGGTATCTAATGAGTAGAGCCCCAGGACGCTGGTAAACATCCTACAATGCACAGAACAGCTCCATCACAAGGAATCATTCTGCCACAACTGTCAATAAGGCAGAGGCTGAGAAACCCTGAGCAGGAGCAACCAGAAAAAGCCCAAGAACCAAATGTGTGTAAGCCAAATCTTCCCTCCAGGGCCCATGGTAACCTTGCTGCTCTTTTAAGGTGCTCACTTGCTGCACTTTTGACATTAGGAAAGATTCTCTTTTAGGACAAAGGACCCTGCTTGCTTGCCAGTGAGAAGGACAAGCAGTGCTCAATAGGATGAATTTCCTTGGTTTTTGAGAGGGTTCCAGGGCATTAAACCTTTGAAAGGTAATCCAGCCCATAAAATTCCAGACCCAGGGTTACGTTAGGATATCTGGGCCTCTACTAAACAAAAGCAGCCTTGGATCTTCCTGCCAGGATTCCATCCAATCACCCCATGTCCGCCTCAAGAATAAAGGGATCACACACACACAGATTTTATGAGAAAATTTTGTTCTTTTGCTAGATGGCTATGTACTTAGGTAAGCTTGCAGATTGTGAGATTTTAAAGGATAAGAAGATAATCTCTAACCAGTTGTGATCATCCACAGTAGGATGCCTTTTGGTCTTACCAGTACCAAATGGCATCTGTATTCTATATTCCACATATGTATGGTTGCTAAGAAAACAGGGACGTTCTCAATGATGCAAGTAGGTTTAAACATGGATGTCAGTGGCTATCTATTTCAAGACCTTGACTTGCTTTTGCATTTCCCCCTCTTTCTCTCAACTCCTGCAGGTTAAGCTGATACAGAGCAGGCATCCAGCCCCTTCTAGAGATCCTGAGAAATTCCACATTTGGATTTTTGACATAGATCTTTCTAGTGCTGAGTTCCCTGATCTGGAGAAAGTCTTTTGCTCTCTGACTTGACTTTTCCTTCCACTGCCCGTCTTCCTAAAGAAAGTGTACAGGACAGTCAGCATTTTTGTTGGTTTTTTTAATCCATACTCCCCACCAACAGCAGCAGTTATTTTGACACAGTAACTAATGTTTCATTAATATGTGATGCTAATATTTCTTATTAACTTCTGCTGCTTTTTCTAAGGCAACCTATTAAAAGCCAAAATTATAGTTAATTTTGCATAGTTATCTCATGTTAACAGCATAGTTATCTCATGTTAACAGCATAGTTATCTCATGTTAACAAAGTGAGGTATGATCTTAGATGCTATTTTCAACCTATTTTTCTTGGTTCTGTTTCCTTTATTTAGTCTAAATCTCCAGCAATTACATGGTATTTCATTTCATTTCTGTAATTCTAACTGTACTTTAAAATATTTCATTACAACTGGTGGAATCTCCTTTCCCTTATGGGAACAGACTCAAGGCAAATCTATAGAGTTTGTGGACTGAAAGAAACAGGACTTGATCATTTCTCAAACAACTACTATTTATTGTCTAGGAGCCTGCTGCTTTCCCAGTGCCCATCAGCCAGCTTCCCAGTAGCTCTGGTCGCATTCTTCTTGACCAGACAGCAAACATGTTAAAGGTGCCAAACAGCTTCCTCTGAGCTCCCTATGTATTACTAATTCTTAATTCACATATATTTTACTAACTACTAGCTGTCCTAAGTGGAATTTGGGCATATTTCTATGAATTTCCATAGCCTTTACAAGAGATTGTTTTCCCTATATTAGAGTAGTACCATGTACCACAGATTTCGGAAATTAGACCTTTAGGGAGCAGAAAATATCAAAACTAGAGAATTCTAGTAGTTACCCCTCACCACCACCACCCAAACACACAGACCTGCACACACATACTATGGGCAACACCCTCCAGAATGATGTTCCTGAATTTTCTGTAGAACCAGATGACAGACATATTCCAAAATATATTTCATCCAATCGTTATAAACAGCTTAGAAATAGATCATTTGAGTTCCCCACAATATCAACTCTGGGTGAAGGGATAAAATGACCCTTTGAAATGGCCTGCAGCGCAAACAGGAAAGCAAACCACCATCTCTTCCTCCAGCTCCCATCACTCCTTCAAAGTGGAGCCAAGAAGTCCTGACAAGACAGGAGGATGGCCACTAGGGATGGCCCATTTCCAGGCACCAGGCCCAAGAGGAACAGCCACACCATGGAAACCCCTCAATGGGTGCCCGGCTCTGCAAATGTGATGGAATTAAACAACTGCCCAGGTGTCCATCCTTGGGCCATGGGACACGCGGCACCGGACCCTACCTCGGATTTCCACACGACATACGGGTGGCCGTGGCTGTTGGGTGGGGACTGGAACTTTCTCTGCTGGAGCCACCTCCTGGGAGAAGCGAAGATGCCATTGGAGCCTCCCCCGGAGGAACAGAGGATGGCGCTGCGGCCACTGCTCGGCCCTGCCAGGACCGAAGGCAGGTCCCAGGCCATGCTCTTCTTGAGGCCACTGCGACCCGGGGGGACCTCATAGTCAAAGTGGAGGTTGCCAGACGGTGACTTCTCCTGCGGAGTGCTGGGCGTGGACAACGATGAGCAGAGGGATCTAGGCGGCGGGAGTCGGTTGGCCCGGGGGTGCTGGCCCCGGGGAGAAGACGCCGAGCGGGAGTCGAGACCCTCGGCCGGGGGCAGTGGGGAGCAGAGGTGGCTCCCCGTGGCCCCTCGCGAAACTCCCTCCGCGCCCGCCTCGCCTCCGCCGCTGCCGATCAGGGCTGGGTCCAGGCTGCGGGTCTGGCGTAGCTTCCTCTTGGAGAAGCCCTTGGCTGAGGCCGTGCTGCCCGAGGCCGGGGAGGAGCAGGAGAAGACACTGTGGAGCAGGCTTTGCGCAGACATCGCAATGGGGCTATGCCCGAGGGCCACCCTCTTCCGCTGTCAGAAAGCCGGGCGCGGAAAGGAAGGGGGCTTAGGCGGGGCTGCCAGGCGGGGCCGGCCCGAGGCTCACCGAGGGCGGTGGAGGGCAGCGCTGGGCTCACGCACCACTAGGGCACTCCAAGTGCCCCGGTGGGGACACAAGCAGGAGATCCATCACCAGCCTTCTAGGAAACGGGGTTGGGGCCTCCTGCGGCCGCTAGAACCTTCCCCCGGAGCCGAAGTTGCGAAGCGGGTGAGGAAGAGGAGGAGGAAGGTCAGGCGCTTGCTGGGTTCCCAGCTCCGACACGCCAGCACCACTGCCCCTTCCCAGCCCAGGCAGGAGACTCCTTGCTCCGGCTCACTGGCTCTGGACAGCTTCGAAGTCTCCAGCAAGCTCCTCCTCACGCCCTGCGGACAGTCGCGAGGGCTGGGGAGGAGGCCTGCTGGGCGTGCGCCCAGGGCGCGTCCGTCCTGCTCCCCACGGTGAAGGGGACTTCCTCCCGGAGCCGGGGCTGTGTCTCGGGGGGTAACGTCGCGGTGTTCCGGTCCTTGTAGTTGCGCCGTCTGGCCTCCACTTGGCTGCTGCGCCCAGTCCTCCAATTGGCTAAGCGCAAGGGTATGTCCAAGCTCAAGGTTCCCGCGGGGTGCCAGTCTTGCCACAACGTGGGGACATGGAGTGTGCTGCGCCCAGGGCCTCCCACAGGCTGAGCGGCTAGGGTGGGAGACAATTCCTGCCCGTGCTCAGGGAGCTGAGGAGAGAGACCCAAGGTGGGTGCCCACATTCCACCCCAGAGGGACTCTAGACGTTCGCAGCCCAGTTTGGGGCCCAGGGCAGGCACCGAGATGTCCCTCCCGCGTTCATTCTAGAGGCAGCGGGAAGGGGGCGGCCAGGACCGGTAGGGCGAGAGGGAAGCCTGGTCCGGAGCTGGGGCGGAGCCAGAAGCAGGAGAGGGCAGAACGTGGAGGAGTTTTCCCGGCGCCCAACCTGGGAGCCGCTCATGATACCGGGTCTCGTGGGGAGAAAGTGGTGAGGACGGAAGTGCAGACCTTCTCCCGGCTCTCCCCTCCCCCAGATCAGGGAGAAGGGGGGGGGCGCCAGCTCCACTCACGTTTCTGGAAAGGAAAGGAAGTGTCAGATTGCACCCCACCCACTGGTGTCAGATGGGCAGCTCAGGACGGTTGCTCTGAACTTGAAGTTAAATCTCCTGCCTTCTCCCCTCCCCCCACCCAACACCCCTGCTGGATTTGTGTTTTTAAAGGAAGGATAGAGATTCAGTTCAAATGGGCTGGAGATGGGCACCTACTAAGAAAAGTAAGGATCCTGCGGAAAGGTACTAGCGGAGCAAGGGAGTTTGAGGCCAGGCGGGGGGACAGGCGCCAGGCTGCGGAGATTGACGCTCACAAAGCGATGGGTCTCCCGTTTGGCTCCCTGACGCCTCTGGGCGCAGCGCGCCGCGGCCACATTCCTAGGAGGCTGGAAAATGCTGGCAATGGCAATGTCCCCTGCTGGAAAGGAGTCTGGAAGCAGCTTCTCCCGCTACTGTCCGACCCCTGGAATCTATAAAGCACAGAGCCTGGCCTGCCTCTCGGAAGACTTTTTGACGGAACATTTAAGTTTTGCAACACACCTTACAACCGCTCACCAGGGGAGCAGAGAGAATGTTGGAAATGCCTGCGTACATTATTTAACTGTATTCCTGTGGCCCCTTTTACCACTTCAGGGTGAAGAGAATATTATACAAATATCAAGGTGGCTTTCCTTTACCGTTTCTTTTATTAAAGAAAAAAAACTTAGAATGGGCTTATAAATACAGGTGTTTGACACAAACATTTGCTTTGTTGTGTATATGTCAGAATGTGTCCAACTTTGATTTTGGAAAGCTGCTTTTATTCCCTATAAAATTTTCAGGGGGAACATTAATTTCTTTGTCTTTTTAAAAAGTATTTGATGTTCCTAGATATTTAACTAGATATCTAGGAGAAGGCCTGTCGTGAAATCTGCTTAACGGAACAATTTGATGCCTCCCCAAAGGGCTTTGTTAGGATCCGGGGATCTCTGATGTACTCGTTTTTGTAAATCCAGCGGAAAGACGGCACCCAGGGAGCTCCTTTGGTGACTTTATGAGCTATCTGCTGCCTGAAGACCAAGGAAGAGACACATTTCCCAGCACCCTCACGGCTATCTGTCTCTTCCAACCCTGAAACTGAAGTATCTTCCGTTAGGTGTGCTGTGGAGAGGCTCAGCGTTTAAAATAGCTCACTTCCCTGCCTGACTACACACGCCAAATTACGTTTAGGGGATTGTTGGTGTTTGCTTTCTCCTCTTTTCAAACAAGTCACATTAGGAGTGAAGGAGGGTGGGTCTGGCCTGCCCTCTTAGTTAACAATACCTTGTAACTAGTCACTAGTAATGAAAACACTTCATGTCTCTACCGTTTGGATACCATTGCATGGAATTGGTTATGCCTCATTGGATTTTCACATTTGGAGTAGATGGTTAACAAAGTCACATTTCATGGGACCACTTATGACTCAAGGTGGTTGAGAAAATGTAATTTAGGGTTCATATATGTTCTATTCCTCTAAACCCATATGGTGACCAAGGGGTTGAAAATGCAACCCTGCCATAATTATGTAGGGCTAATAAGAATGCCCTCCAGGCACGAAGTCTTACATTCTTGGTCATGGATGTTGGAGAGCCAATGAGCAGAGGGACACTTCTATTGGGACTTGCAGCAGACAACTCCAGTTAATTCATTATCTTGTTTCCAACAGGTCCTGACCCTCCATTAGCCTGGAGCTAGCCTCACTGTTGGAGACAATGAATAAATTGTTTTAAATATGCATAAAATTAAGCTCAGCCTCCTTTTTAAAAAACCCAGTATAAGTATATATGTTTGTAAAAAGGGGGCGGTGGGGCGATGTAATGGCTTGGAAAGAAAGATTTTGCAAGAAAATTATTTGGGGTTTTTAACGATATTTTTAAAACTATTTTCATTTCCAACCTGATTGCTATTAGGTTTATTTTGTTGTCGTTGTGGCTTATGGCGTATTCATTAATTCTTAGTTAGGGCATCCTAGTTTACTCTCGTTTGTTATATAATCCCTTTGCTCATATACACCACTCCCATTGGCCTTTCTGATTGACTATCATTTTATGCCAAACTTAAGGGAGATCTGGGTTTCATTCACCAATTTCAAAAATGGCCGGTGTTGCTCACTTATCCCCAGAGTCCTTCTTACCATTCATCAGTCTGATTCAGAGGCAGTATAACTGGTGGTCTAGAAGTAAATGGTTCTGAATACACAGACAGTGCCAAAAAATGTACACACATTTTAAGAAAGGAAAAAACTGTATTAAAATTGTAATACTCAATATATACTGTTAACAAAAGATGAGCACAAGTCATGTGCATACGATTTTTTTTTTTGGCACCCCGGTATACACTTTAAAAATCAGGTCTCTAACACTTTTCTCCTTTATTAAGGCATTTGCTATTGAAAAGTAGTGTCTACATTTGTTTATTGTTCCCTCTGAGCTGAAGTTAATCAAAACCTTAGGATGCCTTTTATTTTGGGGCACAGCAGTCTGCTCACTATTCATTCACCATTATAATTATCCTAGAAATTCAGGATAAAAAAATATCTGTTCCATCTGGTCATGGCACAAGAATATTCTAATGAAAGTTCTAGAGTCTTTGCTCTGACATCAAAGTATCTTCTTATCAAGGATCCTAGAAAACTCATGAGTTTTCTTTCTATTCCCTGAGACACTGTTCTATAAACACATACATCTTACTACCAAAGGATATATTCTGTTAAGCCTAAATTTCCCTTTTCTTAACTTTATCCCTTGAAATTTTTCTTATCCCCAGCCAAAATTCCTCTTTTCTCTTGGTGTTTAGACCCCTGAGCTATTTGTAGATTTTTATCATGCCCCTTGGGTCTGACTTTGTGGTTTGGCTACACTATAAAGTTCATATTTTGCTTTTAAACCATCACTGTAATGGTCTCCTCTGGATTCCCTCCAGTTGCTGATTTCTTTTCAGTCCTGAGGTTCGCTATTTCAGGTTCAGGGCATCCTATTTTGCCCTGGTTTGTTATATAATCCCATTGCTTATATGGTCCCAAATCACACTGCACTTTGATTGACTGCCATTCAAACTTCAGTCTGATTGGCTCCCAACTCATAGTCAGCACCGCTCATTTCTGTTTCATCCTGTCCATGTCTCTGAAACTGATTGCGATCCCTCTGATATCATTTCTACGTTCTTAGTGGTATGTGGGGTAAAGAGTTCACATCTCACTCTCCCATAGAAGTCAAGGGCTCTGCCTCCAAGCTCCTGGAACAGGAAAAGGGGAACATGATTTGAATCTGTGGGATACATGTACAGAGCTTTTACAGGGCTTAGAATGCTAACTACATTAAATAGCCAGACGCCCCATGCCTAAACTATATAAAACTTCTTGATTGTTAGCTAGGAATGTTTTGCAGCTGAACTAAGCATGTTTCTTTAGATTCCTATTCTAGGATCTCCCTGAATGAATATAATTGTCGAGGCATTTAAACTACAATTGATCAATGTCAGTAGAGTTCAACCTAGAGGTGCAGAATAATTCCATGTGGGTAAGATTAGCAAAAACTCTCTTTCTTAAGCACCAACCCAGCATTGAGGAACAGTTATCATTTTCCATAGATGGAGATGTTGTCATAGTAATTCTCCAGAGGTGAATATAATGATTTGTAAGACATACGGGTATTTGATAGCTTAAGTCCTAACTGGTACTATGATGTGAGAAGACAAGATATCTTTCACTCTCCACCTTAGAGAACAATTTAATATTATAATACCAAGAAAGATATTAAAAAAAACAACTTTATGCCAACACTACAGGGAAAAGGCACTGAAAATGTCTGTCCCATTTGCTAACTTGAATGCAGTGTTGTAGTCAAGATCACCTACTCCAACAGCTTGGACCTGATCCTTTAATCATAATAATATAATAAAACTAACACTTGTTGAAACTTACTATATGGCAGGCACTGGGGTGAAATCATACACATACTATGCAAATCAACAGTTACGCACACATGCACACAGCTACAATATTGTCCTCTCATTTTACAGATGAAGAAAACCAAGACCTAGGACATTCCCACAGGTCACCTCCTGGGTAAGTGGCAGAGCTAGTATTCAGATCCATGTAATCTAACCTTGACCTCTGACTCGTGCAGGACTAGAATAGCACATTAAGAAGCTATTCGATTTGGAGGTGCTTTGGGCCCTTTTCTGGATGGATTTCAATTTTGTGATTTCTTATCTAGCTAGATGACCTTGGGCACATCACTTCACAACTGTCATTCTCACTTTCCATCTGCAAATCAAGGCCATTTCAGAGGACGTTGGGATGAGTAACACACATTGAATGTATACAGCATGCTTAGCGAAGAGCATTCTGGGAAGAATGAGCACAGTGATGGGAGTTATGACTATAATCTATACAAAAATAAATAATGTTTAAATTCTTTTGTTTAAATTATCCAGATATATTGAATGGCCATCCCTAATGCGAGTTCCCCTGGTCTTACACCCAAAAGACTTACTCAAAGCTTTCTAATTTGCTAATAAAGTATTTGCTTAAAATTATTTGAAAAGTCTCATGGTTGACCCAAAGCATAGTCATAGCTGGGATTTTCACCACTTTCTCCAAGTTTTAGTGAGGTGTTGTCAACACCAACTAAATAATACCAACATGGGCTTTCAGAGCAGGGCACTTTCCTGAGTTCAATGAAAGATAATTTGGGGTTTTCTATGTTCAGAGCAGAGTGCAGGAAATTTTTTGCTTTTTATTACATGTACGTATCAACAGGCCAGTTTTTTTGGCTCAATGTTTTAGATGAATTTCACATTGCCCAAAATTGGAACCATGTAGCCTCTCTTTAAAACAGTCACCCAGTTGAGGTTTTCCTATCCATGTAGTTAATATCAAGACCTGTAACAATTTT